CTATATTGTACATAATATATTACTTACTGTGTACAAAAATTGTGTGTGTGTCTGTGTGTGTGTGTGTGAGAGAGAGAGAGAGAGAGAGAGAGAGAGAGAGAGAGAGAGCGAGAGAAAGAGAGAGAAAGAGAGAGTGTGTACTTGTGTGCGTTTCACTTTAAACTTTCCATCCATTTCAATCATTCCATTTCTAGCTCTTTACAACCACATTGTCTGCCAGGAAGTAAGGGTATTGTATTGTATGTAAAAGTGTGCATCTTGACTTTAAAGCTGCTGGAGGGATTAGTAGCCTATGTTATCCTAAAATATAGATATTTCGTCGTTTCTATGTTTAACGATAGCAAACTATTTTCCAGAGCCTTCGAAACTTCACACAGTCCTCTTTCTGTAAGTGTTTGCACACCATTCCAAGTTTGATGATGAAATACCAGGACAGTGTCATCTGCGTACATTAATAAATCAGCTCCTTCTAATTCTATGTTACAGAGATCGTTAACGTACAGCAGGAAAATAGTTGCTCCAAGAGTGCTTACTCGTGGGACTCCGTAATCACAGTTTGTTACGTCACTAATGTGTGTGCCAACTTTAATCTGCTGGCTTCGATTACTTAAATAATCTTTAAACCAATCATAGGGAATCACATGTATACCCATTCGCTCCATTTGTTTCAGAAGTATCCTCGGTGACACAGTATCAAAAGCCTTGTTTTTGTACTATTTTCCAGTTCTTTGTAAAAGTCTGCGACGCTATTACTCCCCTAAGATTGATGGACAGATAATAAAGCTCTTTGCAATAATTCTGCCTTTTGTTCCTGTATTGATATGGAAGGTTCAATAAAGATTAAAATAAATAAATATTAGTATATCAAGGAATACAGTTTTATTTAAACGTAATATTATTTTGGGATTAAATTAAATAAACAAGTTAAAGTGAAAAAGTAAATTTTTTCCTTATTTTTGAAGATTGATTTCTTTAAGTATTATTTATGTACATAACATCAAATTGAAATATATTATTAAAAAAGCTAATAACCTAATTACCGTACGGTGTTACTCCCCGTGGTATCGTGCTAAGAACGCTTTCTGCGTTTCCTCGCTGAATACTTTGCCTTTGAGAGAGAAAAGGACTAGCCCTCTTATCACCAGCAACAGCAACCAGTCGCGGATAAAGTTCTTTTAGGAACTTCACAGCACGTCAACCCCACGGACCGATGGTCTCTACTGCAAACGTCACAAATATGTAATCATCTCTCAGAGGCTCATATTTGTGCCACTTACTCAGTTCAGCTGCCTCTGATGCTACCCCAGATCTAAACGAGGTACCCTTGAGATGTGAGACACCAATGTCATACCGTCGCGTCTCTTGCCATTTATTCCACAAAGCTCTAAAACCGAGTGAATATTTATATAAAAATTTATTTCTTTTAATGTAATATAGTATAGGTATTTTACCTATATGTTCGTGAGAATATAGTTGCTAACTCTTGAGTATTATCACATTCCTTTACACTAAGTGAGGTCCGTCGACGGATCTAACTCGGCTTGGCAACGGTAAGGAGATTACAACACATCTGTTCGTCAAGTATACCTTAAAACCAAAAAAGCAACGTTGTACAACCCGTCCTTTTAATCACTGATGACATATGGATCTAGGAAGAGCTTTCCTTATAAGCAAGCAAGTGCACTTGCTTATAGGGAAAATATACAGGAAGCTTGCTTCTTGAAAGACCGCGTCGCGGCTCTTGTTTTTGTAGGGTGGTAAAAAATCAAATAGATTTTTTCGGGATTTAATGTTAGATTTGTATCAGATGTACACATCTTAAGCGACTATTGTAAGGCCCGTACGTTTTCTTAAATACAGCAACCGAGCTCATGCCTTCATTACTTAGATATTATTTCCCTTTCTTGTTTTATCCTTACCATGTTTACGTCTTCCCAAGTTTGTGAATTCGATAGTCTTATTCAATAATAGTTTCGTTCAGCGAAAGGAGACACGAAACAACGAGAGACATGTTAAACTTGTTTTGGAGCGATTACGAGCTTAAAGTAAATTTTAATGCTCATTATTATATATTATTATATAAAATATCCAAAACAGTAATAACATCTTAATAAACAAAAACCTTTACAAAAAGCGGTTCTGCAAGTCTGTGTACAAATTATAATATCTGAGGCAAAGGTATTCATAATTTTGCATATATAATGCCTACAGATAGATAAAAACACAAATTGATGTATAATCGCCGTAAAATTGACGTACTCGTATATGCACGATCAATGCCATAATAGACCGACGACTTGCTTCAATACTTTATTATGAAAGAAGATCCTGAGTGAGATTGACTCATCTATCAACGCAGATTCCAAACCATTACACCTAGAATTCGGAAATTCAGACTGTATCTGTCTTTTATGACGCCAGCAAGCTGGCATCCACTATGAAGAGACAGGAAAATTCTAACCCTAAGGGGGTGAAATATGGTAATACAGTTGGTATCAAACTTTATATCTTACAGGGCGATTGACTCGAAAATTAAGCACTGAAAGTACTCTGTATATATAACTAAAATTAAAAATTAAAGAGAAACCCGAAACGAAAAGAGGTAATATGTTTTCAAAGCAGAAAAGATTTTCTTGAAACACGGCTAAGAACACTCTCGATTAAGATACTGAAAATTTCGGGAATCAAGGAAGTGACACATCATTACTATTTAAAAATGTATTTATTGCTTTTCGAAGTATTCTCCGCGAAATTTGACACATTTTTCCATACGATGGAACCAACCATTGAAGCAACCATTCCATTCGGAAGTTGGGGTCTCCAAAATGGCCGTTTTGTAGGCGTCCACAGCTTCTTCAGGTAATGAAAATCTTTGTCCACGCAATTTATTCTTTATTTTAGGGAAAGTATAGAAATCATTAGGGCTTAGGTCGGGGCTGTACGGCGGATGGTCTAATAATTATATGTTTTATTGGTCTAAAAACACTTTTGTTATGTGTGCGGTGTGAAAACTCGCATTGTCGTGATGGAGGATGATGCGGCGGTTGCAGTTCTCTTTACGGAGTTCAGAAACGACCTGTGGCAAACAAATGCTAGCATACCATTCTGCATTAACCGTTCTTTGTCTCTCAAGAGGAATTGTCGTAACATGGCCGGTTTTGAAGACAAACGTGGCCACCATTTTTTTTACAACACTCCGTGAGCGAACAATTTTTGTTGGCTTTAACTCATTTTCGAACACCCAAACTCGTGACTGGTTTTTTGTTTCGGGTTCGTACGCATATATCCAGAATTCGTCACCTGATACGATGTTGTACACAGGATTTGAGGATCCTGCGTTGAATCTTTCGAGAGTTCTGACGCACCAAGTAACGCGAGCCGCTTTTTGCTCTTCACAGATCGAATGCGGTATCCAGCGGGAAAACAACTTTTTTACACCTAATTGTTCATGCAAGATTATTTGTATTTGATTCATGCCAATGTATAAAGTTGCTTGAATTTCGCGGTATGTCACATGTCAATCTTCTTTAATCAGCTTACGCACAGGATCAACGTTTTCTTGGGTGACTGCAGTTTTTGGACGACCTTGACGGGGATCATCACTGAGCTTGACACGTCCACGTTGAAATTCAGCAAACCAGCGATAAATTGTGGTTTTGGATGGGGCTTCATCACCAAATGCAGAAATCATCCGGTCAACACACTGTTTTTGTGTTAAACCATTTCGAAAGTTATAATAAATCATCGCTCTTGAATTTTCTGGAGTCAATTCCATTTTCTCAACGACTAAACAAGTTTGACAAAACCTTGTGACAAGACCGAGAATCTTTTTTTTAAATAAATAAATGGTATTCGATTTTTAAAACCAAGGAGTTCTCAATTAAAAAGATTTTAATATGACAGGAACAGTGGAAATATTCCATTCCCGATACTTTTAGTGCAGCCTAGTACCTTTCAAACGAAAAAATTAAGTTTTTTCGTTTGAAAGGTACTATGTATATACTAGGAATCAAATTCGGCGGCGACGATGAGGTGATGTGTGTTGTAGGGGCCTTTTTCGAGTCCCGGGATCAATTCTTTTTTTCTAAGGGAATTAACCAATTTGCAAAACGCTATTCAAGGTGTATTACCTTAAAAAGGGATTATGTTGAAAAATAAATACAATTTACATATACTTATCCTAGAGATTCATTTCGTTTCCAAAAACTTATTAATCAGCCATCAGTGTAACTTATCAGGTATTTTGCTGTCAATAGTATACACATATAGCTTGCCCATTTCGTTTCTTAGTTCGTGTCCTTCGTTTGTGTGTTTGAATTATGTACTAACTGATTCTTTTTATCCTGAATAGTGCCTTTTTAAATCTTCGTGGTAATCAAAAATACTATATACTATAATGAATCATCAAGACTTATAACAAAAGTACTAATTCCACGCGAACTAAGTTGCCAGCTTAGCTAGTATAAAAATGCAAAGATATAGTTTGAAAATAAACTATTAATTAGATTGTCATTCATTTTATATTTCGATACGGAAAATATTTGTTATTGTATCTATTAGCACATACACCTAAGGAACAGGTGTATCCTAGTTCAGGTACCTGTTATTGTAGACTATTTTAAATTACGGAACTTTTTAAATTTGTTTTACAGTTCATTGAAATAAAAATTAAGAAGGTGAAACTCCCACGATTTGGCGATTGTGAGTGAGTCGGGTGAGAACTGAACGCAATCAGAGTGCCAGCAGATATTGAGTAATTGATATTGTGATTAATATCAAAACAAAGACACATTTTCGATCAAATGTTACCTACCGGTTGTAAATTTTAAAATTTCCCACAATTATTACTATTTATGTATTATTAATTTTAATTTTAACCAAAATTTCTTGCGTCTGCATGGATAAATTATGTTTAGTGAAATAAGGTCTTCTTAAATTTGTTCAGAATTCTTTTGGCTGGTTACTGAAAATTAAATTGTGACCATTTTTCGTCCTTGTAGACGACATTGGCGTCTTGGTGCAGTCGTAGGAATAGACCTATGGGGCGCATGTACAGCGCCCTGCTCGCGTCTCAAAGACAACGCGCTTTAGCCAATGCAGCCGAACGAGCCACCAAACAACGCCATCTACGTCGCCATTCCACTGCTGTCACCCAAATTTGTGACGCACCGCCGAGAGTGCAGGTGAGGTCAGGTCTGATCAAATATTTTTGTACAATAGTGGTGTTGGTTTTATTTTTTTTAAATTGTATAAACTTTGTTTAAACTTTATACAATTTAAAAAAAATAATTTGTTTTTATAATAGTTCAGTGAAGGAATAATTAAATCAAGGTATATTTTATACTGAAGCCGTGGTAGCTCAGGGGCTAAGCGCTCGCTATAAATTTCACAGTACGCGAGCAACCCGGGTTCGATTCCCACCGACACCAATAAATTATTAAATGCAATTTTAAGTGCTGATTACCACGTGCTCGGCGGTGAAGGAAAATATCGTGAGGAAAACTACACGTCTGAGAAATAAAAGTAAATATTACGTAGACATGTGAGTTCGCGAACACGCATTGGGGCACCGTGGCGGATATGTCCTTACCCAAAAACCCCCTCAGAGATGAGAGGAGGCCTTTGTCCAGTAGTGGGACGTATATAGGCTGTAACTTTAACTATTAAATTTTATACTGATGGTTCAGTCTAATCAATTTCTCGTGTTACGTATTAGTAATTTACCAACGGTAGGCATGAAATTAATCTCTACTAACTATATCTTACTTTACATACGATACTCTTGTAGTGTGAGTGTTATATATTAAATATAATAAATGCATATGACATTATGTACACTATGTATGTTACATATTAAGAATATTATGTTGGAAATAGGGCTAGTAATAAAAGTTACTCCGGACCATACGTTTATTTATATCCACCTATCGAACCTACGATCTCATTCTCATGGACATTCTAGCAACGATTACATAAGCGGGTTTTAATTACTCGCAACTTTCAGTTGATGACGTTTCTGGAATAAGTTCCCATTAAAAAAATGTCTTGCCGTGTGGTGGCTGTGTATGAGTATACGCTATCCCATATCATCGCTATAGATACCCATGTATCGTCGAAAGTAACTCCATTAATTAAATTATTTTTTTAATAAATTTTTTTGCGCATTAAATTTTTGACAACATCCTCTTTTGTCGCATTTTCCTCTATTTCTCTTAATTTGGTTACAAGTATTTCATATGCTGCCGCTCTTCTATTTCGGTCATGATACTCTTTATCTTTCAATCGACATATACAGGGCTCCGGTTTATATTATTTCAATAAATTCCTCTAAAAGAGCCGTGGTAGCTTAGTGGTTAACGCTCGCTGTAAATATAACAGAACGCGAGTAACCCGGGTTCGATCCCCGCCGGCACCAATAAAATTCTGAGTAATAAGAAAAAAAAATATTTCGAAGACATGTGAAGTTCGTCAACACGCATTTGGGCAGCGCGGCGGACACTTCCTTGCCCTAAATCCTCTCAGAAATGAAGGGAGGCCTGAGCCCAGCAGTGGGACGTATATAGGCTGTAACTTTACTTTACTTTAAATTCCTCTAAAATTGCATTTCGTTTGCGAGATGACATTATTGCGCAGTGACGTACGATGCCATATCCTCTCGACACTTGCCGGATAACTGAAGCCCGACTGCCACACACGTTCAGTAATGCTTGCGCAAGCGACCTGCGCAAGCATAACCGATCGGTTAAAATATCAATTTCTACATTTTTAATTTTGCTTGCACAGGCAAGAAATTATGTCATACACATGTTCAGTTATTCCGATCTGCCGGTTTAAGAGGCTACATAGGGAGCAAATCAGGAGATGGGCAGCAGCGACTAAAATTAAGAAACCGCGGTTGCCAACCTGCTTGTTAGGACATTTCCCCTTATGAGGCTTACGTGGGAGGCCTATGTTCAGCAGTGGACATTAATAAGCTGTAACAATAGCTGTAACGGTACAAGATCTTAGAAGAAAAATTTTAAGAGATTCTTTCTGTATTGATTTCTATTACTGACTTTCAAGATAATTTAATATATAAATACACGAATAAAAATTTTTAAACTTAACAATTACCTATAATTGAAAATATTTGACATATATATGTTATCGGTGATATTTTTACGGTTTTCATTGTTTTATCGTAGAGTTATCTGTTATTTAGCAGACTCCTAGAATATTTGTTTACGGGAAATTATAAGTCAAACCATAAAAATTTAATTTTTCAACTTCTGATTTAAGAGTAAGCATTGGAAAATATCAGAGAGCTTCTAATAAATTAATTCGCCTTTTTTAAAATGCCAACTAAATCTTCCATAGCAACTACTTAAGCTAGTAAGTTACAAATGTAGATGCTTAAAATAGCTACTATGCTTAGTTATATTTACAGTAGCTTATATCGAAGATATTAGGGGCTAATATAGAATTTTGACGCGCATTGATGGCGGCTGACTTAGTAATTCAGAGGACAATGTAGATTTTTAGAGGAGAATAATGCTATTAAATAAAGGTCTACTTAATTAGCTTCCGTTGTTTTCTAGCAGATCACTTTACAAAATTCTGTATGGTAATGGTGTTGTATTTTAATATTAAAGTACTGAAACAAACAAAAAACAAAAGTAACATGAACATAACGTAATACATTTTCGAGGCTACCGTATTCACCGTGTAGGCCATTACAACCGTTTATTGTCAGGTGGAATCTTAGTCATATATATGCGTAAGAATGATAAATAAATAAGGGCACTGATTCACAGTAGATGATCGAAGTGCATCATGACTGTACAAATCAGCTAAATCGCTGGAGGGTAAGAGCTTTGGAATATTTGTTTTATTACAGTGTTACAACGGGCGAGAGTTAGCAGCAGTGAACGAATTGCCGAGCGGTAACGGATGTCGGCATTGGCGGCTACGACTTGCGCTCGACGAACCTTCGGATTCGATCGGATCTCCGCGCAGCATATCCAACTCCAGTTTGCGCGAAGTTGATGAGGAACTGACCGGTGAAGAGCTTGCCACATACCTGTACCAAGTCAATTGTCATATAGGTGGACTCACCTGAGTAACGAGCGTTTAAATTATTGGCCTAAGACTCATTTAATTGTTGTCAGTCCGTGACCGCGACGACAAAGCCCTAAATAGTGACTCGATTGGTGAGTGACACGAAATTTTTTGTAAATGTTATATTTGTAAGTGTTTGTTAGGAGATTTTTATATGTGAGCATTGTTATATACCAATAACAAATGTATGTAAATGTTAAAAGTTTAAACAAATATTTAAAATTTATTTTATCTTAAATAATCTGCTTAAACATCGCATGCCAAATAAGGTAAAAAAGTTTTGTGTTAACATAGTTAGGTTGATTGAAATAATTATTTGAATTACGAACGTAATGAAGAAATGTCAATTCTAAATAACAAATATTGTAGAAGTTAACCATTATTGTCTTGCCACTATACAATATAGTATTACGTATAACTTAAATTGAATTTAATTTTAATACCTTTAATTTTATACCGCCTTGCTAAAAACAAATTTGTATGCATATGCCGAAACAAACTATACTTATTTATTAGCTGTGCATTTGTTATAGACAGGTATTTGATTGACAGTACAGAAATAAGATAAATATTATGTTGATAATAACGTAAGAAAAACAATTGTAAGTAAGTAAATAATAATAATAATGTCAACAATGTCCTCCAGACCGAATTCCGGCCACGGCGGCCTGCCTCAACGGAGGCTAGCCATCGGTGCAGGACAGGATTATAGTGCCCAAGTGTATGCGCAAGCACAGGTGCACTCTCTATTCCCTCACTCTCATAATCCGATGGGACGGTAAACCGACACGACCGGAGAGAGATCAGGCGCAGGACCAACGGCTTTACGTGCTTTCCGAGGCACGGGGGTGAGACACCGCCAACTTCCTGACTCCGGGCAACTACAGAGAATTTCTTGTCGGAAAAACTCAATAATTAATTTTTTGGCCCGACCCGGGATTCGAACCCAGGACTTCATGATCAGCAGTCGCACTACTACAACCACTAGACCAACGAGGCAGTCAAGTAAATATTAAGTAAGTAAGTAAATATTAAATATACGTACATTAAAGAAAAAATTAAGACAAATTAATTGTATAAATAAAGTTAATATTAAATGTTTTTATTAGTATTAAACGTTAGATAATGTCATTTCTGTGAAAGAAAAACTATAAGCCAAACCAATTGCTAATGACCCAGAAACGTCAGTTTACTTAATTTCTTTCAAACTTTGTGAGCGCAGGTTCGTGAAAAAGGCTAAGATAATTGCGTGTTTTCGACATTAAAGTTGTCGGTGTTATTTGATTTCGGCATACTTTCAAAATTTTCGTAGCCCTTACAAACTAATAAGAATTATGGATATTACTGATCATTAAAGACGTGTGCAAATTATTTAGTGTTTAGTTTTTGCTTAGTGTTTGTTGTAATATGATGTTTTATTATTATTTTTCCATTTGGGTCCGATTTTTGACGACGTCGTTATATTTCCATTTGGGTCCGATTTTTGACGTCTTATTGCAACACAATATACTAACATAAATAACACAGTATACTCTTCCACGCAGGCCAGTGCAACATCATCAAAAGCGGTGTTGTTGTTGGTTTACTTAATCACAATAAAAAAAAATAACAATAAATTATTAATGTATATCCGACACGTAATTTCCGTATAAAAATTGCATTCTCTTAAAGTTTCTGAGCGTTAGTAATTTGCTCGGCTTATGAAACGAAGTGTATGTGCTATGCACATTAAAGACGTGTAATATGGTTTGTTGTTTGTGATTGAAATTATACGACGTTAATAAATTGTTAAAATTAATTTAAATAAATGCTTAAGTATTAAGATTTGATTTTTAATGGTAATACTATAGCTTAAAGATTGTTACTAGAATTTAATATGCACTGAGAAATTTAGACATATGATTTAAGGTAGGATAAGTATTTAATTTAAACAAAAATTAAAATGATTTTATTTATTGATTTCAGTTCTTTTGAATCGTTCTGTTTATATACTATTTAACAAAGAAAAATTATTTTTTTGAATTGTCGTATAGTTCTACTACCCGCGGTATTGTGATAAAAATGCTAGCTGCTTTTCTTCGCTGAATAGCTATTGAGCAAAAAAATGTACCAGCCTTCTTATAACCAGCGGCAACGAAGAGTCGCATACACAGTTTCCTCACAGGGCTTCATTGCACGTGAACACCACGGTCTGATAGTCTAGCAAATGGTACAAATATATTGTATTAATCTCTCAGAGACACGTACTTGTGCCTTTTAACCGCTTTTGACTTTAGCTTTGTACTCCTAAGATGAGAGCTTGCTAATGTCTCTACGCATGTTGCATCCTCTTGGGCTTTGCCTCTCTTTCAAAGGATCAAAATCATACCATCGGGTCCCTATTGTCTGTAAATCTTCCACAAAACTTTAAGCTGAGGTAACATTTATAGAAACAATAGCTCTTCGTGACGGGATAACGTACCGGCACTTTTCTTGAAATCTCATGAAAATACATGGAGCCCAAATTCGCTGAAGTCTCTACCACAAAGGCACTGAGTAGATTAACGGATCGCCGTTAGTCGGATTCCTACAGCTTCTCTACACCACAGAGTGTTCGGACCAACGGTACGGTTTTCCTCTCTCTGTGTGTCCTACTGTTTCTGTTAATTAACTCTTTTTAACTAGGAGAATGACAAACTAGCATGCAATTCACATGATGGTGACTACCGACACCTATGAACAACTGCAATACCAGGGGCAATGCAAATGCGTTGCCGGTCTTTTAAAAAAGACTAGACTCTTTTCCTGAAGATCCCTAAGTCGTATTTTTTTGGAAATATCGCTGATGATATTCGATTCCACAAGGAAGTTTTTTACGTGGTAGAACTACACTGCAGCTATTATGGATATTTCATGAATGGGTTGGCTCGACCGGGGAAGAACTATGCTCTCACAGAATACCAGCGTAAAATAGCAGCTTAATGCTGCCGTGTTTCGTATGGTGAGTGTAGAGAACCAGAGACCCGTTTTACTGTAATTGAGGCATTCCATCTTAGATGTCTATGAGCCACGACGTCCACTTACCATCAGGTGGACTGGTGCTCGTTTGTCACCCTTATCCTATTAAAAAAAAGTTTTGCGAGGAAGAAAACTTCTAGTCTAGAAATCATACAATGGTGGACCGCTAATCATCCAGATGATATGGATGGTATCACGAGTTTTATCAATGATGGGAAGGAGCTTGCACTGGGGAACCTCCCCACCCGAGATGAGAACAGTATTCCATGTGCAGTTGAACGTGCACCTTATAAAGTTGCAAGCGGTGAGCTAGCATGAAATATTACTCTACAAAGCACGCCAAGCTTTTTGGAGGCCAATTTTGCCTTCCTTTCCAATTGGCCGAGGAACTGACCGTCATTCGATATGTCAACGCCGAGGATTCCAATGCTAGCTACGGGAACGAGGGGAATGTCACTAACTTCCAGTAGAAAATTCTCGCTCGGACAGTGTTTACCATGTCTGCTTTGCACCGCAGCAGTGCACGCGCCTACCTTATTACGTAAAATTTTGTTTAAATGAGGTAAATGTAAGGTTTTTTTTTATTATTCTAAGCCAGCGCTTATCTACAATCCCACCTGATGGTAAGTGGTGGAGCATGTAGCGTAAGATGGTGAAGCGCACTGACTTCACAAAAGCCTGTTTACTCTTGCCTTGAAGAAACCAACATTGTAATCGGATAAAAAGACAAATGCTGGCAACTTTTTCCACTTCTTTGCTGTACGCATAACGAACGATGTAGCAAATACCGTTTGGTTCAAATGCGTGGAGACTGACCGAACGTCATCTCGTGGGTCTCATAAATGGCAACAGAGGAAAACAATTCAGGAAATAGATAGCAGCGTCTTCCTAATAAGGACTAAAAATAACTGCATTTGGTTGCCATCCTGGGTTGGAGAGTAATATGATAATGGCTTTGCAATCTGAAATCCAAAAGTAACAAAGTGTGCTGAGCCAGCAAATCATAAAAGTAATGCATGTCAGCAGATCCGTTCAGACCTTTACGAGTCCACTGGAGAACATAGCCACTATAGAAACGTTCTCATCCATTACACGACGGTACGTTGAGCGCTTTACTATTTTACATGTTGTTATAGAATAAAGAGGACACACATGTTATGAAGGTAAGTTGATATTAGAATGGAATAGCATAATGTGTATTCAATACAGATTACAAGGATACTTACTGAAAGTCATATAAGCTTTATCTGGTTTGAAAAAACTCTGTACTCGGAAGAACCAGCAAGAAACCCATCAGGAGTTTATTTTATACGTTAATTTACAACATGATATTTCATGCATTTAAATATGAAACCAATTAAAAAAACCAAAGCAAGATAGCTACCACCTCATTCCTAGAGTTAGTTATTAATCATGTACTCTATAGTTTAATAAACCTTATTATACATTTTCTAAATAAACGTTTTACAATTTTTGATTTTGATAGGTCGTGCATATTATCTGGGACCTTGTAAATGTTGCTGAATCCATACATTAGACAATTTTACATTTCCCGATGAAGGAATTCAGCAACATAGCATAGCTCCTAATAAAAACACCGATAACCCTTTCAAATCCAATACGGAAAAGGTCTATATAATATGTTGGGTAGAAAAAAAAATTGCGTCAAGAATTGCGCTCATATAGTTTAGTTTTATTTTTATAACATACTTTAGATCATTGTTATTCTGACCACAATGAGAGATAAAAATATTTTATGTATGTATGTAATAAATTCTTAATACCATGTGAAACCGTAGATGCTCATTATCGTGATTCAACTTTTGTTGTTCATATGTACAATACATAATATAAAGTTATTAGTAAATTTATTAGTATAAAATATTAATTTTCAGTAAAACGCAACTTTATTATTTCAGTAAAACACAACATATTTATTATTCTACGTCAGTAATATTTTCTTATAATCAAAAACCTTTTCATTGTTCATCTCTTTTGGGTTGT